TATACTGATGGTCTGTCTTTCTCTCTTTCTCACACACACACACACACGTTCAGACTGTGTGCCATTGTCCCGCTGTTAACCCTCCCCTTTGTTTGGCAGGTGACTTTCTTTTTGCAGTGGCATCTGATGATAACAGTGAGTTTTGGCTCAGTGATGATGAGAATCCAGACAATCTGAAGCTCCACGCTTACGTTGGAAAGGTTTGTGAGACGGAGTGTCAACTTTACAATTACTTTCATGCAGATGCGTGAAATGCATACACTTAATTTTGTGATTCCTCCATTTTTAGACAGGCAGAGAATGGACCGCCCCAGGGGAATATGGGAAATATGCCAGTCAGATATCAAATCTCATTCCGTAAGTAAATGCTGTGTTTGTGTTTCATAATGCTTCAGGGAGGTGCTCACACATCTCTCCATGTTATGACCACATAACTCGATAAAAAAATATTTTTACATTCAATATGTGTAGACTCACAAGCTGCTGCTTGTGTCCTGATTCTGGTCATGGCACAAAGTGGGAAATCATTAGAAGTATTTGTCTGTTGTAATATGATTTGTAATAGTGTGTGTGTGTGTCTGTGTGTGTGTCTCTTAATAACTGTTGGCCAAGATTACATTTCAGTAACATACTTTAAATTAAACAACAAAAATCAATTATGTATCTTTAGCTCAAATCACACAAAATAAGGCTGATCCAGCTAATGTGCATGCATATTCAACAGTAAACAAAACATGTGATTTTAAAATGTGATTTCAGAATCAGAAACATCGCTGTAGGCAGTATGGATCAAATTCATCGAGATGTTAGGCTCTGATATTATTAGTCTGAGAAAGTTACAAAACCACTTTAGTTAGGTCTCTGAATCTTTTGAAATAATTTTAATAAAATACATTTTATAAAAATATGATAGTAGTATAATATATTATTAAAGTATATCATAGCATACTGGATGTGTTTAGAATGGAAGCGTAGATGTACATCAGTTTAATAATTGTTATATGCGTTTGTCTTTTTTATTACTTAAAAAACTTAAATAACTTGATTTAAAGGGATAGTTCACACTAAAATGAAAGTTATGTCATCATTTACTCACCCACAAGTTGTTCCAAACCTGTATTAGTTTATTTCTTCCTTTGAACACAATTAAGATATTTTGAAGAATTTGTGTAACAGTTGATGGTAGCCATTGACTTCCATAGTATGGAAAAAAATACCATGGAAGTCAGTGGCTACCACAAATTCTTCAAAAAATCTTCTTTCATTTTTGCATGAAATGTCCCTTTAACTGGAAAAACATTACATGACAGTTTTTTAAATTGAAGTATTAATTAATTTATTAATTAAATGACATTTATTTTAGTATAATATATTATAGTGTATATAATATATAATTATATAATATATAAAATTAAAAATATAAATACTTGATTTTTCATTAGAATAGTTCACGTATTTCTGTTTTTTGTTTGTTTTTTTATTTCCTAATTGTATTTGTTTAAATTATTTAGTTTTATTCTGATGTGTCTTGTCTTTGTGTTAAAGCATATTGAGAAAGCAACTTTTAACGTCACTATAAAGAAAAAAAAAATATTTTGAATAAATAAAGAAAAAAATATTTAAATTGATTTATTAATAAAGTAAATAGTCAATTTCATGTTATCTTTTAATGTAAAACTTTTGAGTTGCATTAGATGCTTTATAAAAAAATTCAATGATCATGCCAAAGTGGTAAAATTTCACTTTTTTTTGTGTGTTTTACAGTCTGCAAAAGAACAGTAAATATTTCTTTGAGCTTATCCACAAACAAAACGATAAAGGAACAGACCATGTGGAGGTTGCGGTGAGTGTGTTTACTGAGGGTGTTTGTGTGTGATTGTTGTACACTGTACATAGTATGACACTGTCTGTCTTTACTTACAGTGGTGCCTCAAACAGATCGGGAATGGATTTTCAATCATTGATTCCAAGTTCATCTCCCTCTACACCAGTGAGTGAGTGTGTATGTGTGTTATTTTGGGATGTGGTTGCAGAAATGCCAGGGTAGTGTTAGGTCGCCTGGAATAGCGGCTCCTGTCCGCGCACACGCCCTGAAATAGAGCTAATGATGGGGTAGTCGCCACTGTGCGAAGTGTGTGTGTGTGTTGTTGTTGTCATATTGCTTCAGCTGAAGTGTGTCAATACAGGCCTTTGCATTCATTTTTGTATAAATGCTTATGTAGCTCGAGTGAGAAACTGTGCTTTTGTGTCTTCTGACTGCTAGTTTGATGATGTGTTTGCATTAGTTATTGTTAACTAAAACTAAAATTAGTTTTTTTTTTATTATTTAATTAAGTATCATTTTCATTCATTTAAAAACAGCTGAATTTAAATAAAAAAAAATATATTAATTGAAATATTGCCTTGACAATTACTGAAATAAAATAAGTTTAAAGTATTAAAATGACTTAAACTGAAATAAATATAAATTAAATCTAAATATAAATTTAAAAAAACTACAAAACTGCAATATAAACTAATATTAAATTTAAAATGAAAACTGAAATTGGTATGTTTGAAAATACTATTTTACATATCATATTTAACATACATAAAAATTAGTCATCTCAGAAATGTTGCATTTTTAATCAAGTCTAAACTTGAACAGTCTACATACTAATTAGTATGGTAGTGTGCTTTCCAAACTGATTATTACATTTTTGTATGTCACAGTTTACACACAGTAAAACCAGCTCTGCTGTACCAGGCCTAATTGTGTGTGTTTGTGTGTGTGTGTGTGTGTGCGCACAGATGAGTCCTCTCTGAAGGCAGCAGATGTCAATCACATTCCTCAGACCATTGCCAGTCATGTGACTCCGCTCCAGAGGTCACCTCAGACTCCGCCCCATGGAGTAGACATGCTGAGAGCAGATCCACGTGACTCGTTTCATCAGGGTGAGAAATTCAGGCACAAACTCATTTACTCAACACCCTTTTCATAGTCAAAATAAACATAATACGCCAACAATGCAGACATTCTCCGCTATTAAACACTGAACTTAACTCCTTAAAGGGAAACCCTCAGGGCGTTCCAAACCCACATGCAGATATTTTTTAGTGGAACTCTTTTAATACATTGATGGTTCATGGTAACCATGTCTGTCAAAACGGTCCAAAATGGACAGTGTGTATGTAATATAACTGTACACAGAATATATGTATACAGGTTTGAAAAATGAGAGTGAGGGAATATAGAATTTTTAAATTAAGTGGACCTGGCAGATGATGAGAGTTCGGTTATAATAAATACTACATCATTGTCATCTGCACTTCTTGTTATTATTTCCCTCACTTTATATTATGTTTGGTTCTTGTCTGTAGTTACTTGCTAGTTTTGTGATGTATTGATTTTCAGACAAAATCTACAACAGATCTTAAAGTTGCATGTGCATGTGTACAAGCACTTGTTAAAACATTGGAATATATGCTGACAGAACATGAATTCAGTGCCACCTTGTGGCATAGAGACATTTGCGCAGTGATTCTTAGCCTTTTTGACTAAAAAAGGGCCTTATTGTCCAACACAATATTCTATGGTCACCCCCAACCCCATGTTCTATATAATATTTTTGTTATTTCTGCTGCAATTATGACAAAGCTACTTTTTATTAACTGAAACTCAGAATTTTACAATTAATTACATTACTTTAATTAAATTAACCACTCTCCATTTTGTAATTTCACAATTTTTAAGAACTGTATTCATGTGTTCTTTAATAAAAACAATAATACTAATATTAGTAATGATACTAGTCTTTTAAAAATAAAGAACCACTGCATTAGATGCTTCAGTTTGTTCTTTAAGTATTAAAGGGGTCATATGATGCGATTTCACGTTTTCCTTTCTCTTTGGAATGTTGCAGATAGATAAGATCCCTAAAGTTGCAAAGACTAAAGTCTCAAACCCAAAGAGATATTCTTTATAAAAGTTAAGATTCGTCCACACCCTCCTAAAATGCTTAAACCTTTAAACACTATGTGGAAAATAATGTGTTTTTTTAACCTTAAACCGCATTTCATTACACCAAATACACCAAATAATGTTATTTTTTTAGCAATGTCATATGACTCCTTTAATGTATTTAACTGTGCGTTGTTGTTATTGTTATAATAATAGTAATGAAGTGTTATTTATGTTTTTCTTGTTTGTATGTATTTGTACATGTAGTTCCATTATTGGACAGGGCACGTTTGCAGGGAGTTTTACCTGACTGTATTTATAACCCCAGCTACAGCATAAAGGGATATCCTTTAATGCGCTACCAAGGCCTGCAGTTTGTAAGTGCTTACACACACATAGATAGTTAGAAAACTAAGAGAAATGATTTTTTTATTGCATTCCTTTATAAAGCACAGAATGTTGATGTGCATATGCTTGCATGATCTTGATCAATCTAATTTGTTGCAGGTGCACCTGACGTACGTGTATCCTAATGACTACACACGGCTCACACACATGGAGAACGATAACAAATGTTTCTACAGTGGGAATCCATATTACCTGGAAAGGTAGACGCACAAATACATTACACTACCGTGATCACAAATGCAGACATGGTTTTATGTTTACGCAGCGCGATGCAACGCAATGCGTAAAAAGACAGTATAAGTCATTATAATCAGTAATTATGTCCCCACTGGATGCAACAAATGTCTCGTTTGTAATGGGTTTTAATGTTTTTGTCTCGTCGCACCGGGACACGGCATCACAGTATGGTAGGGGCGTAACATTTCCGTCACACGCTTGAGGTATTCGGCCAATCACAACGCACTGGATAGCTGGCCAATCACAGCACACCTCGCTTTTCAGAACGATGAGCTTTGTAAAAATCGACGCGTTTCAGAAAGGCGGGGCATAGAGGAGAAACAATAATGTACGGTTTGTGGAAAATAATGTGTTTTTTTAACCTTAAACCGCATTTCATTACACCAAATACACCAAATAATGTTATTTTTTTAGCAATGTCATATGACTCCTTTAATGTATTTAACTGTGCGTTGTTGTTATTGTTATAATAATAGTAATGAAGTGTTATTTATGTTTTTCTTGTTTGTATGTATTTGTACATGTAGTTCCATTATTGGACAGGGCACGTTTGCAGGGAGTTTTACCTGACTGTATTTATAACCCCAGCTACAGCATAAAGGGATATCCTTTAATGCGCTACCAAGGCCTGCAGTTTGTAAGTGCTTACACACACATACATAGTTAGAAAACTAAGAGAAATTATTTTTTTATTGCATTCCTTTATAAAGCACAGAATGTTGTTGTGCATATGCTTGCATGATCTTGATCAATCTAATTTGTTGCAGGTGCACCTGACGTACGTGTATCCTAATGACTACACACGGCTCACACACATGGAGAACGATAACAAATGTTTCTACAGTGGGAATCCATATTACCTGGAAAGGTAGACGCACAAATACATTACACTACCGTTCATATGTCTGGGGTTGGTAAGTTTTTTGAATGGTCGTGTTCAGTCAGTCTAGTTCTCTTTAGCCTTGTTCCGACTGTCAGTCCTAATCCTATTTTATTGTGCATATCCGAATATAATCTGATCATATTTAGCAAGTCAGAACGACAAAAAATCATCTGAAATCAGATTTTTAGAAATCAGTTTCAAGCCACATTTATATGTGTTTTGAAATCCTATTCAAACCGCATTTCTGGAAATCCGTTTCAGTCTGACTGCTCAGATTGGATTTAGCATAGCTTTTTTGCCTATGTCTCTTTCTCACAGCACGTAAAATGTAAATACGTCAGATGTTGTTTGTAGAAAACATGCTTAATGTCTTTGCAGAAACAAGGCTGTGTTGTCGCAAAGTGCAAGTCAGGCAGAAAATGACCGTATACTGCTGGTCTATGCACCTCTTTGAGTTTTGAGACCAGACGGCAGCACGGTAAAAAGCCGTGCTTCCTACATTTCTGACGCTGCCTCATAAGACGCAATATAATCCAGCACGACGGCAACATGTTGTCACGATGTAAGACAACATCTGTATTGCAAACTGTAATGCTGTTATTGTTGTTTTTGGCGTATGCATACCAACGCAATGTCATTGCCATAGAAACCAATGCAGATAGTTAGTAAAACGAAAAAGCACCACGAACACTCAAATCCGATCTGAACAGACATGATACACAGTGTGGACAGTCAAAAGTTTAAATCAGATTCCAATTGGATATGCACAAAAATCGGATTTGGACCGACAATCTGAACAAGGCCTTTAGTGCGCCTTGTGCATTATGATATCAAATAAATTCATTTCATTTTAGATACGGCTTCTCAAACTACATTCAACTGGATTTGCCTGAAAATGAGGAGTTAGTCATCAAATACAAAGGTACAGCAAACAATGAATGCTTTTGTGGTGTCTTTAAATTTAAAGACAACATTCACATTGCATTTAACTTCCTTAAAGGGATAGTTCACCCAAAAATGAAAATTTGATGTTTATCTGCTTACCCCCAGGGCATCCAAGATGTAGGTGACTTTGTTTCTTCAGTAGAACACAAACCAAGATTTTTAACTCAAACCGTTGCAGTCTGTCAGTCATATAATGGAGGTGAATGGGAATCACGGCTTTGAGAGTCAAAAAACATACACAAACAAAACCAAAATAAACCCTGCGGCTCGTGACGATACATTGAGGTCTTAAGACACAAAACGATCGGTCTGCGCAAGAAACTGAACAGTATTTATATCGTTTTTTACCTCTGATTCACCGCAATGTCCGAACTGTCCTGAGCGCGTTCTTCTTGCTGCATTTAACTTCCTTAAAGGGATAGTTCACCCAAAAATGAAAATTTGATGTTTATCTGCTTACCCCCAGGGCATCCAAGATGTAGGTGACTTTGTTTCTTCAGTAGAACACAAACCAAGATTTTTAACTCAAACCTTTGCAGTCTGTCAGTCATATAATGGAAGTGATTGGGAATCACGGCTTTGAGAGTCAAAAAAAACATACACAAACAAAACCAAATTAAACCCTGCGGCTTGTGACGATACATTGATGTGTAAAGACATGAAACAATCGGTCTGCGCAAGAAACTGAACAGTATTTATATCGTTTTTTTACCTCTGATTCACCGCAATGTCCGAACTGTCCTGAGCGTGTTCTTCTTGCTTTACGGCAGATCGCAGAATTATATGTGCATTACCGCCACCTATCTCTCAAATGGACCATTGACATTCTATCTACAATCTAAATTAGGAGTGTCAATGGTCCAAGACCCGTCACACGCCAGCTGTTGAGAATGTGCTCAGGACAGTTTGGACATTGTGGTGAATCAGCGGTAAAAAACGATATAAATACTGTTCAGTTTCTTGCGCAGACCGATCGTTTTGTGTCTTAAGACCTCAATGTATCGTCACGAGCCGCAGGGTTTATTTTGATTTTGTTTGTGTATGTTTTTTGACTCTCAAAGCCGTGATTCCCATTCACCTCCATTATATGACTGACAGACTGCAACGGTTTGAGTTAAAAATCTTCGTTTGTGTTCTACTGAAGAAACAAAGTCACCCTGGGGGTAAGCAGATAAACATCACATTTTAATTTTTGGGTGAACTATCCCTTTAAGGAAGTTAAATGCAATGTGAATGTTGTCTTTAAATTTAAAGACACCACAAAAGCATTCATTGTTTCAAAACCAAATTAAACCTTGCGGCTCGTGACGATACATTGATGTGTAAAGACACAAAACAATTGGTCTGTGCAAGAAACTGAACAGTATTTATATAGTTTTTTACCTCTGATTTACCGCAATGTCCGAACTGTCCTGAGCGCGTTCTCAACAGCCGACGTGTCTTCTTCTTCTTGCTTAACAGCAGATCGCAGACTTATAAGTGCATTACCGCCACCTATCTCTCAAATGGACCATTGACACTCTATCTACAATCTCAATTAGGAGTGTCAATGGTCCAAGACGCGTCACACGCCAGCTGTTGAGAATGTGCTCAGGACAGTTTGGACATTGTGGTGAATCAGCGGTAAAAAACGATATAAATACTGTTCAGTTTCTTGCGCAGACCGATCGTTTTGTGTCTTAAGACCTCAATGTATCGTCACGAGCCGCAGGGTTTATTTTGATTTTGTTTGTGTATGTTTTTTGACTCTCAAAGCCGTGATTCCCATTCACCTCCATTATATGACTGACAGACTGCAACGGTTTGAGTTAAAAATCTTCGTTTGTGTTCTACTGAAGAAACAAAGTCACCCTGGGGGTAAGCAGATAAACATCACATTTTAATTTTTGGGTGAACTATCCCTTTAATGCAACAGAAATATTTAGTTGTAAATAATGAGCAGGGCTTCATTTTATGAAATTTTGAAAACAAACATTATTATCTTATTAATCATGTATAATGTTAAACATTATTAAAATGTATAATCATGAATTGTGTGCTATAAGATCAGGTACATTTATTAAAATATGGTCAATTTTGTTGTCTTTATTGCATTAAAACATGCATCAGCTTGATGATTCAGAACTTAAAACTCTTTGAAAGGAAGTGCTTATTCATTCCCCATTTCAAGACACTTAATGCTTGTCTTTGTCTTCCTGTAGGAGACGGCATGCTAGGAAGAGCCGTGAATCTGGGCAGAAATGAAGATGAGGGCTTTCAGAAAGCTGGAAAGTATGAGGAGAGGAAGCAAATGAAAGCTATGGAGAGGAACAAGGCTCTCCCGGATTATGGAGACGATTTTGATGATTATATAATGAAGAGACGCCGCAATCTGTTTTCTGTCCAGAAACATGGCAGAATCCGAAAAAAGAGGGAAGACGGGGACCTAAACAACAAATTTCAACAGATGGACCAAGACAACCAACCTAAGGCAATCCAAAAACCACCTGGAGAACCACAGAACCACCCAGAGGAACCACAGCAGCAACCAAGAAAGAAGAAGAAAAGGAGACGTCCTGAACAAAACCTACAGGATCAACACTACCTCCAAAACCCACCTTCTGAGTTGAAGAACTATGACCTGGGAAAAGAAAAAGACTCGCAGCGGTTTCAGAATAAAGTCATGGAGAAGATACCTGACCAGAAGAATCCAGGACCAGCTCAGAGAGAAGATCGCTCGAGGTCAAAGGTGAAACAACAAGTGGACCAATCTCTCACTCCGGATGATAGAATTGAGCTCCACCTGCGTAAAGCCAAATACAGCAATAGTAGTGATGGAAATCCAAATCTTTTGGCAGTCAGAGACAGAAATATTCCCATGGAGAACATACGAGAAGCCAGTGAGATGAAGCAAAGATCAGTGACCAACTCTGCCGTGTTTGATGAGGTCCAGAAGGAACGTCATGATCTTGTGAATCGGATGGGTAATCGGAAAGTCTATCTTGGAGAACATGTGGACAGGGCACCCAAGAACACATTAGATGAGGTTAAAGATAAACGGCCTTCCTTGGATGGGAATGAAGTCAAAGCAGAACCGATAAAAAGGCTCAAACACCCAAAACATAACGCAGATGAAGCCATGCAATTTTTGAAGGACAACCCTGAAAAGGCTGTAGAAGATGACAACAATATTATCAAGCACGAAAATGTGGCTCATCATCTCCAAATTACCCAACATCAACACCAAAACTCATCGAATAAGGCATCGGTCATCGCGGCTCCATCTAACGAAAAATATAACAGCCGCTGGGGTAATGTGAAGGACGTCAGAAAGGAAAAGGAGATTCAGGATAATGCGATACATATAGAAGAGGTCGAAGATGAAGGAGATGAAGACGATGCTTGGGTGAGCCAGGGTTTCTCAGAGGACGAAGACTATGACCTCACAAACAGGGTTGTGTATGACGTGGAAGTCAAGTGGTGTCAGACGTTCCAGGCTAAACCCCTAGATCTGCATGCCTTGCGCTCCGACTGGATCGATCTGAAGTGTAATGTGTCTGGAAACCTGCTGCTTGAGGAGTCAGAAGCGTTGTCTGTAGTGGAAGCTCTCATGAAGAAACTAAACAAGAAATATCCAAGGTAGGCCGACTGTTACAATTATAATGAATCTAATATTCAATTAATTCTGCAGTATGCAAAATAAGACTCTATGAGCTTTGTTTGGAACAGTTTATACAGAATACTGCCTGTGAAACCTGCATCAAAAGAGTAACTTTTTTAATATGGGTTTGTTCTTATGAAAATAAAGAAATTAATACTTTTATTCAACAAGGACACATTAAACTGATCAAAGTGACAGTAAATATATTTATAATGCTACAAAAGACTTCCATTTCAATTAAATGCTGTTCTTTTAAACTTTATATTCATAAAAGAGTTCTGAAAAATAAACGCATTGTGGTTTCCACAAAAATATTAAGCAGCATAATTGTTTTCAGGTGGAAGCTCTCATGAAGAAACTAAACAAGAAATATCCAAGGTAGGCCGACTGTTACAATTATAATGAATCTAATATTCAATTAATTCTGCAGTATGCAAAATAAGACTCTATGAGCTTTGTTTGGAACAGTTTATACAGAATACTGCCTGTGAAACCTGCATCAAAAGAGTAACTTTTTTAATATGGGTTTGTTCTTATGAAAATAAAGAAATTAATACTTTTATTCAACAAGGACACATTAAACTGATCAAAGTGACAGTAAAGATATTTATAATGCTACAAAAGACTTCCATTTCAATTAAATGCTGTTCTTTTAAACTTTATATTCATAAAAGAGTTCTGAAAAATAAACGCATTGTGGTTTCCACAAAAATATTAAGCAGCATAATTGTTTTCAGTATTGATGATAATAATAAATGTTTCTTGAGCAGCAAATCAGCATATTATACTGATTTCTGAAGGATCATGTGACACTGAAGACTGGAGTAATGATGCTGAAAATTCAGCTTTGCATCACAGGAATAAATTACATTTCAAAATATATTACAATAGAAAATGGGTATTTAAAATTGTAATATTTCATAATATTAAAATTTTTCTGTATCAAATAAATTCAGCCTTGGTGAGCATAACAGACATCTTTCAAAAACATTAAAAAATCTAAGCGACCCAAAATTTTGAACTGTAATGTATGCAATATTTTAATTTTTTTATAAAATACAAATATTATTTTCTAAATACACCATTTTAAATTGTATGCCGCATGAGTCTGATCATTTGGCATGCTGATCAAAAATATTAGTTAATAGTATTTTCAGTTCGTTCGCCATCATAATGGACATTTGAAGGAAATTAGAAGTGCATTGCATTTTGGATTAGAGTATGTCACACAGTATGCTCCGGTCCTATAGTTTTGCATAAATACAGAAAATCTGTGCACAGTAAAAACGGTATTTATAGTATAGTAATATGCCATTCTGAACATTTTAATTAATCTCTGACACTAATCGGTGTGTGTGTAGGCAGTTCTCTCTAGAGCGTATTGTGAACATTGAGAAGAAGCCTGATTACAATCGTGGCAGTAGATATCTACTGGAACTGGAATTGTTGGAGGCTTCAGGACGCCACCTGCGCCTGGTTCAGTACATCTATGTGAAAAGAACTGAAGACTGGGGTTCTCACAAAAAACAAAATGCTCAGGGTGAAGAACTTAAGCTTTGCGATCCATATAGCTTCTACTGGAACCCGACTGCTACTGTCCACTTCATCATCCCAGGTAACTCTCATATAGAGAAGGATTTACTGAAGTTTTATTCAAGATGCTTTCTTACTATCCCTGGTGAAGGAAACGACTTGGACATGTTTCTTTGTATGCTGCATGAAATATCTTAATAAAGCATGGTCTGTGTTTGTATGTCTGCAGTGAAGAACCAGGCCCGTTGGGTGCAGCAGTTTATTTCAGACATGGAGGAGATATACCGCACCACTGGAGATCAGAACTTCAACGTCATCATTACTGACTATGAAAGCACTGATATGAACATAGAACAAGCACTACAGAACTCTTATTTACCCAGGTACATTTACCAGTTTATAAATACACGCTTAGTAGAGTGATCCTTCATGAGTTAGATTTCATGATCATATGGCACATTATGTCATCTCTCATGCTTCTGTAGCTATCATATTTCTTTCTGAACGTGTGGTAAAGTCACTTTACTACAACTCAGTAAAATGAGACCCCACTTTGACTCCCTTTCTATTGTGTGTCCTCTGTTTCAGGTATCAGTACCTCATGTTAAGTGGAAACTTTGAGAGATCAGCAGGACTTCAGGCAGGAATAGACCTCATTACTGTAAGTTTAAGATGCAATACGCACCAAACACATGACATGAATTTCTAAAACTTGTTCGAAACATGCCATGATCTTCAGTGAAAATGAAAGCAGAACTAATGCAAGGTGATAGATGTCACTTAATTGCAGCTTATAAAGATCTGTCTCTTTCTCAGGATGATCACAGTATTGTGTTTCTTTGTGATCTGCACATCCATTTTCCACCTGGCTTCATCGACACTGTGAGAAAACACTGTGTGGAGAGGCACATGGCCTTTGCTCCGATAGTCATGCGACTGAACTGTGGCGCTACACCTTTGGAACCTGATGGTACAGACTTACAAACACAAGATAAACTGATAAAACCGTCATATACAACACCGAATCAGATTACTGTATATCAACACATTTACTGTTGTTCAAAAGATTGGGGTTAATATATTTTTTTTTAAATGTTTTTGAAAGAAATCAGAATTTTCAGCAGCCATTACTCCAGTATTTAGTGTCACGTGATCCTTCAGAAATCATTCTATTGCTGATTTAGTGCTCAAGAAACTAGAGCACTGCATTTCAGCCAAACTGATCAGACATGTGATCAACTCACTGTCTGCCGCTGGCCGCTTGGTCGTCACTTTAAAAAACAAAAACTTTAATGTAACTTTTTTTCCCAAATTAACTTATTAAAGAAACGAAAAGAAATATAACCACTTTGCCATTAAAATTAAATAGCTGCAACAGCAGCTGTGTAATGGGGAAGAGAGAGCGATAAAAAAGACACGGGCTCCATTCGGACTCGGGCTGACAATTCTGCTAAGCTGGACAAGGGCCAGGCTAGGGCCTAGATTTGAGGCCCATGCAGGGCTCTACAAGAAACATTTCTTGTTATTTTCAGTGTTGAAAACAGTTGTGCTGGTAATGTGCAGGTTATTGGGAGGTCAATGGCTTTGGTCTTCTGGGCATTTATAAATCAGACCTGGACTCCATTGGGGGCATGAACACCAAAGAATTCACTGACCGCTGGGGCGGAGAGGACTGGGAACTACTGGACAGGTCAGTCATGAGACAGTACACTAATATCACACTTAATAAAGTTAATCATTAAAAGTCAGTATAATTTTTAATACTGTGCATTATGATGTTGTAATTCCTAAACTCACTGGCAGCATTTAAAGATTTCAAATTTTTAGATTAGAATTTTTATGAAAATAAAACTTAATATCTAATATATATTTTATAGTATAAAATTGTACTAAAATAGTAAAAAAATATATATTATTTTTTTTTTCTATGCACATTTTTCTTTTTAATCACTTTTATGTAAAGCACTTTTTTTACTGAATGTTTATTGGTTTTTAACAAGAATAACATACAAAATAACACATAGCAGAATTACATAAAAAAAATAAATAAACATACCCACCCACCCCACCCCCTGGATAGTATACATACATAACAACAGCATTACATTTTCTTTAAATTAAGCATTTTCCAAGTCATGTCTGTCGGGCCAAGCTCTACAGTTTCTTTAGTTGAGTCTGGTAAGATGGCAAAAAAAGGAGACCAGATACATCTAAAAGTATCCACATTCCCCTTAAAGTGATGCACTGATTCTTTCAAATGGAAGTATACTGTAAATCTCTTGAAACCACTGGTGAATTGATGGTGGTTTGTCTTTAATCCAATCAAGTAATATACATCTTCGGGCAATAAAAATCTACTTCTGAGCAAGAGTTAAGTCCCCTGGTGCAAGTATCGAGTTATTGTGTTCAAGACCTAGGATGAAGAGTCAAGGGTCTTTACATATAGTATAACCAAATACAGTGCTGATCCTAGACTTCTGGGGGCCATATGCAAAACTGTGTCAGCGGGGCAGGGCGGTGGTGGAGTGGGGTATGAGTGGTTATAAACGAATGAATGAAAAACATCTGTCCGTGTTTCACTCCGTCTCGAATCGCGCTCATGGAAATAGTGCGAGAAACAGTGTTTCTTCCGTGGCTCGGTACGCTGTCAACTCATTTTTTTTTAGTCTGGAGCAAGACTGTATGACATTCACATTACATGATTTGGCTGATTTTTACATAGAAAGGGCGACAGCGCACCTCATTAAAAGAAATTATCATTCACGTTTTCATAACCGCTGGCCAAATTCAAAAACGAAACTAAAATTAAATCATCTTTGATAGCAAGGGGGCCCCCTGGTGTTTCGGGGGCCCTACGCAGCTTGCGTATTTTGCGTATAGGGAGGATCGGCTCTGACCAAATATGTTCTCTAATCTCCTTTGGACCTTGCTCCAGAATCGTGAGATTAACGGGCAAAACCAAAACATATGGCTATGCGTAGCGACACTCTTACACTTTAAGCAAATTGATGACCTTTGTGGATTAGTTTTGTTAAGAATGTATGGGGTGCAATGCAAACGCTGGACAATTTTAGTTTCTCTTGCTTCGTTGCAAATAAATATACTGCCCATATGTTTTAAGGTCTTCTCCCACTCTTTGTTCTCAAGGATGCTACCAAAATCTTTCTCCCACACATTTCTAAATGCTGAAATATTACGACCAGCATGCTTGAGAAATAAGCAATAAACTACAGAAATCACTTTTCTTAACTTGCTTTCTTGAATTAATAAATAAACCATTGGAGATTTTGACAAGCTAGGGGAAGAACCAGGGATCATGGTTTGTATAAAATGTCTAATTTGTAGATAGCCAAAGAAATGCTGCTTTGGCATGTTCAATTTATCCTACAGCTGTTGAAAGCATGTCACCATCAAACAAATGAAGAAGAAATTTGATTCCCTTTTTATACCATTGCTGGAACATACTGTCCTTAACCCCAGGAGGAAACTCCTGATTCCTAATGAGAGGCGTCAATAAAACTGGGGAGCTGTTGTTACCAAAAAATTAACAGATATCCACCACACCTTTAATATACCCTGAAGAAAGGGATCGCTTTTCATATTCAGGATAATTGTACTCAATATTCATAGCTGAGTGCATATCCTGACACCAGTTTAGTAGGATTCTAGCATGACAAGACCAGGTATAGAAACAAATATTAGGGAGGGAGAGACCACCAGCCTCAATTGTTAATTGTATTTAGTAGATTTTCATTCTTGGTTTGTTTTTATGCCAAATAAACCTTGAGAAATGCTTTTCCAGATCCCTAATCATATTCCTGCCAATGTAAATTGGAGTCATGTGTAATATGGAGGATGTTCATTTGAATTAACCCTATCCGACCCAGCCAGGATCTAGCTAGATCCATCCACCTATCCAGATCATCTTTGATCTTTTTTACCACGGAGGTGACGTTTATGTAAAGCACTTCGAATTGCCATCATATGGTTGGCTTCTGTGTTTTTAAGTTGTTTGTGTACGTACCATTTTTTTCAGGCAGGGTTGTTGAATTTTACGTTTTGGCCTTGTGAAGGCATTAGTCGACCCTTGTTATCAAAGCGTTGTGCTTTGGTTGGCTGAAACACACTTCTTGTTCATCTCATTTGTGTCCTGCCTCTTTTTTTGGTTTTCACAGTGTTTGATTTTATTTTTTCTCCATTTTATTTGTTTTTGCCCACTACCATAAAGCGCTTTCCTCTCTTCTTGACATCCTCACATGCTCTACCCTTTCAGCAGCAAGAAGTCAACACTCTCACGGACCTGTCACCCCGTTCTTCATTGGCAAGACAGCTATGACATCACCAGCCCCCCTCTCCTTCAGCTGCCAAAGCAACCTTGTTTACAGCTTAAAAATGCCTCTGACCAATCAGTAAGCTGCATTCAGCTGTCATTCAAAGCGTAAATCCAATCAGAGGTGTCGGTTGGCTTCTGTGTTTTTAAGTTGTTTGTGTACGTACCATTTTTTTCAGGCAGGGTTGTTGAATTTTACGTTTTGGCCTTGTGAAGGCATTAGTCGACCCTTGTTATCAAAGCGTTGTGCTTTGGTTGGCTGAAACACACTTCTTGTTCATCTCATTTGCGTCCTGCCTCTTTTTTTGGTTTTCACAGTGTTTGATTTTATTTTTTCTCCATTTTATTTGTTTTTGCCCCCTACCATAAAGCGCTTTCCTCTCTTCTTGACATCCTCACATGCTCTACCCTTTCAGCAGCAAGAAGTCAACACTCTCTTTTTTTTCTTTCTCACAATCTCTCTTCCTCCTCCTCACACACATACACCTATGACCCTGTAAATCCGTGTGTGTTGATGGAGTGTGTTCCTCCTTGCTCTGACAGGCCAGGGTTTGGGGAGGAGACCCCAGGTGTCCCGTTATCCTCCGGACCCCCCACCCCTCTGAGAGCACAAACCTTCTCCTCCTTCTCCCCTTCCAAGTCCTACAGTCGCCAGTCCTCCTCCTCTGACACCGAGCTCAGCCTAACCCCCAAAACCGGTAAGATACCCGACCCCACCTGACCTCTGGCACTCTACCAGACTCTCTCTGTCTCTCTCCATGGACCTTGATTTTAATCAATATTAGCGACTGACCCTGGTGTCAAGGCAGAGAGGCAGAGGGTGTAGGGCCCAGTGTCTCTCTGTATTTTGGTCTAATTTTCTGTTTAATTAATGTATGTTTGTTGTGTTGTCCTTTCATTATTACTTTATCTGTGTGTGTGAGATGTTTATTTGTATTTTACTCAAGGCTGTGATCTCATATTTTGTACATTTGGAATCTGTGAAGAAAATCAACTCTTCCATGCCTTCCTTATGTGAATCAGCCCCTTCTAAAGGACTTTAGTTCTGTTTTTCATTTTTTTTATTTTATGCATGTTTGTCTACTTATTTTTCACTATCTTTCCAGGGATGCAAACTACTTGCTTTTATTCAAAATCCTCAGTTTGTTATACAAAATAGGTCACTTATTCTGTTTTCATGCTGAACAAAGGAGCTTTTTTTTTTTTTTACTGCAAGGTTAAATTATTAAAGGGATAGTTCACCCCAAAATGGAAGTTCTGTCATTATTTAGCCTCATTCATGTTGTTTTAAACCTATATGACTATCTTCTATGGAACGTAAAAGAAGATATTTTGAGAACTGTCTTTTTTTTTGTCCATACAATGGAAGTCAATGAGGTTCAGTGTTGTTCTTCAAAATATCATCTTCTCAGAATTCTTCAGAATAACTTTGTTTGTGTTCCACAGAAGAAATTAATTCATACAGGTTTGGAATGACATGAGGGTGAGTAAATAATGACAGAATTAAAATTTTTGGGAAAACCATCCCTTTAACATGTGGCCTCTGAAGAGGTATTTTTGTGAAGCAGATGTAAGGTTAATATTAAGGGTGCTCCGATCAGGATTTTTTGGGCCGATCACTGATTGTCGATCACAGGATGCAGTATCTGCTGATACCGATCTTTTTGAAGCCTTTTTTTTTATCATGTAGAATTATTTATAGTGATGCTCCAGTCAGGATATTTACAGACATTCATTCAGGGCCTGAATTTCATTTTTAAAAATGGGGGGAATTCCCCTCTTAGGTGACTCCTTTGGGGGGATTTGAGGGGTGGAGGGGGATTTTTTTTTTTTTTTTTTTTTTACATTTTTCAAAAATATATAATTATCTCACCTGCATGTTTGATCATGCAGTGCATTTTTGTTTTTATAATGGGGCAATTATTGCACAATATCTTACACACAACACAAGCCTGATTTTGTGAGCTGTATGTGAGACGGCCTTATGCCAGGTTCACACAGACACGGAAAGTTTTCAAATTACTTTGCAAGTTATTTATTGAAGAAATATGAATTGTACCTCACCTTCAGCATTATAATTATTTTACCCACGCCGGACAGAGATTGAGCATGTCATGCCAAACCTCTCACAGTAGGCGCGTCGTCAGCTTTAGATTGGTTTATGAGATCGGCCTTTATAGAGACTGCCGATCAAACTTCCCCAAGCCATCATTGGCCGATAGCGATCGGTAGCCGATCAATCGGAGCACCCCTAGTTAATATTTATCTGGACTTTTATGAAAAGTTTTTGCTTTTGCTAGCACAGATAGTCTGCATAAATGCACATGCTGGGTACTTGAAAAGCAAATATAAAGTGCAGCATTTCCTTTAAGACACTCCGATTTCCAGAAACCGAATGATCAAAATTTGTTCAGCGCTGCCAGTTGTATGCTTGTCATATAGTGACTATAAAGAATGATATGCTAATTTGGACAAGAAACATAAGGGCATGGTATAATGTATAAAACTGCAACACTTCAGTTTTATATTTTATCTTTATCCCTTTTTCTCTCCCTCCTGTATTATATACCCTTCATTTATTTGACACCCCCAAAAAACATTTTAATTGATGAAATGTTACTGTCCTAGTTCAGCTTATCATTTTGTTTTCATGTGTGAAACAACAAGAAACCCATTTTGGAGCTATTTTACCTACATTTTAGAATAACATTTTTAAAATCAAAATCAAAAAGGAACTTCAGAAGGATAATTCACCATAAAATGAAAATGTTTTTTTCAACAGCATTTTCATTTTAGCACTCAACCTCATGTCCTATATGTTTTTATATGTTTCCATACAGCAACATGTTCATAGTGACCATGTCTGTCAAGCTCAAAAAAAAAAAAAGTCACCATAAAGCACAATTTTTGTAGACCATATGACTTGTGGCCAATATTCTGAAGTCATAAGATTGCTTTGTATGAGGAGCAGACCGTTAATTGATAATTCACCTCTGAAATGGATTACAAAAGTCATTGTGACAGAAATTTCAGTTTTGGAAAAACTGCAGCTTATACCGTCAAAAAACACCCTGCTGGAAATAAAATCCTAGGGAAACCATTTTATTTACCTCTCATCAGTTTGCATCCCTGTCTGTTGTGTAGTTCAGTCACCCCTTATTTTTTTCTCATATGATGTCTTCATACCTGTCCTCCCCAAACTTCTCTCTCATTCTTTCTCTGTCAGTGGGGATATTTCTGTGTCCCAGTACTCCCGCCCTTGAGTCTGAATCATCTCCCCTCCCCTCTGCCCATCTGCCCCTTCACTTACGGCCAAGGATGGCCTCCAGGAGTACAACTCCTCCCCCACTCCATGTCAGCCAATCAGACACAGCCCTGCTGAGTAAGAGCGTGTCTTTCAGTGAGGAACTCCTGCTGGCAGCCTATGGTAGGACACACCCACTGCTGTCCCCATGACCTTTGACCCTTGGTGCTGTGACTGCATCCAGTGTGACCACACCATCCCCTTTGCTGTCCCCTGGCAGAATATCATGCCCGTCGCTGGAAAAATCAAACTAACGAATGGATTTTTTCTCTCATTTGCCCACATCTTTTGGCAAATGCACTCTTGAGTGCATGTTATGATAGAGTAGTGTGGTTTAATGTCTTCTAAGCTCTCTGATTAACAAAACCCCACTTGCATGAGTTCTTTTAGTCTGACTGCAGGTTAGATTTCTCTGCCAATGGAAGAAAATAAAAATAGCGGCCTTCTGTCATCTCTAGTTGGCTGGTTCCAAAAATCTAATTTCCTAGTGCCTGGGATCTGAGCTTGTGTGTCTGAAACTGTATATTAATTGTGCTTTAATCTGTCAAAAAGTGATAACTTGATGAAGTTGCCCAACTAGTGAATCAGTAGAGTACTTTTTTTTTTGCCTGCGATAAATGTTATTTCTTAAAAGTCTGAATGTTGAAAATGTGTTCATACATGCATTACTTTAATGGTTTATGCAACTAATGCCATTATTACATTTTTAAAATGGATGTGAACATATCCAATTTGATTTGAGATGTATTAAGATTACACAGTCTTTATATTAGACTGCTGCTCTACCTAGCAGAGTGTAGAAAATCACTTTTTGGCGAGAGCGAGATCCACCAAATGATTTACACTACTGTTCAAAAGGGTCAGGTCAGTAAGATGACAGTAAAAACGTTTATAAAGTTACAAAAGGTTTCTATTTCAAATGCTGTTTTTTGTTAACTTTATAATTATGAAAGAATCCTGAAAAAATTATCAAGGTTTCCCCCCAAAAATGTATAATAATAAATGTTTCTTGAGCATCAAATCAGCATATTATAATTATTTCTGAAGAATCATGTGACTCTGAAGACTACAGTAATGGCTGCAAAATTTGTAATCATATTTCACAATATAACAGTCTTGTTGAGCATAATAGATTTCTTTAAAAAAAAATCTTACTGAACTTTTGAATGATAGTGTATATTAACACCATGTTAATGTTAATGATATTAGATATATTGTACAGCACCTTGGTCAACAATTGCTGTTTTTAGTGGTGCTATATAAATAAAGCAGAGTTGAGTTGCGTTAACCATTTTTATATGCACATAATTTCCCTATTAAGGTATTCTGGTGAAACCTTTATTTCCAAAAGAGGTCATATATTATCCATAGGTATTGGAATATTCCTGTATGCATGTTCGTTTCCTACTTTGACAACAGCACAAGAGCACAATTTTTCACTCCCAAAAAAATCCAGTCAAAAGTTTGTACTTGACATAAATGAGTGATTTGCTTACATGTCAAGGAATTCATATTAATTTGATCAAGAAACCAAAATATTAATAAAGACTTTAGGCTTAATTGGGTAAACATGCAATTTTAATTAATATAATATTATTAATATTATTCCATTGGCACACAGAAGAGGTGAATGCATGTGGCTATTGTAACATTGTGCACTGGGTTGTTTAGAAGTGATGTGTCGTTTACAGTCTTTCATTTCCCCTGAATTTCTCTCTTCTCCATCATAAACAGGAATGGGAAGTGGCGGCAGTGCAGGAAAGGAGGCGGGGCCTCTTAAAGTGTTTCTGAGGCAGCAGACCCAATCAGCACTGGAGCAAAGAGTAAGAAAAAGACACATTCACATGCATTTATAAATTCACGATCAAGTTTATGCACAAAAGTGGAACTGGTGATTATGAGAATTATGTTTCTCCACTCTTTCACTCTCACTGGATTTCAGGGGGTTTCATCATCCTCTGAAGCGTTTGTTAGAACAGGGGTATGTCTGGAGAGTGCATGCAAAATGTTTTCTGAATGTAGAATCTTTCATGTTTCCGAAACTCCTCCCTGTTTGAGAACTTTAAACTGGAAGTCCCGCATCTCTTCTACTGTCCTAATGACTTCATTATCAAACCAATGACACATCGGAATCGTGACTATTGGTTTGGGGGCCATATGGTTATGCACCCATTTCCATGGAGAATATTCTAGAACCTTTGACAGGTGCTAGGAAGCTCTCATGTCTACCTGAAAGTCACAGTTTTGCTGTGATCTTGGTCTGGGGTAAAATGTCTTGTGAAATAATTAAATTAATGTAAATGAAGAGCCAGAGATCTTGAAGTCTGTGTCTTCATCCAGTCTGTGGATGAGAAAGAAACATGTACTGGGTAACAATTTTGTTGAGGCTTTTAATCAGGACTTTATGCATATTTATTATGTATTTGCAAACAGTTTATCAGAATGGTAAGTTATAATTAAAAGAGCCTTTATGAGCATCTTATTGCAACTTGTTACGCCACTTACATCTACTGGTAAGTCCTGAAGTATTGCACTTAACAGAGTTGTTACCCAGTAAAAGAGCCTGTCTCCTACAGTGTCTGAATCTCTGTATCTCTGCATGAGTCTTGTGTTGCGATTGATAAATATTGACAATGTAATGGCATGACCCACAGGTTTAAATTTCTGTGCTTTAAAATCTTTAGATTTGTGGGAAAATGTCAGTACAGAAGTTCACCTGTCTTCATGTCCAGTGGGTCACCTGTGTCATTTCTGTATGATCCCTCCATCACCGTTCTGTGTGTTTCAGGAATACCCTTTCTTCACGTTGACCGCCTTCCCTCCTGGATTTCTCCTTCATGTGGGAGGCGTGGTCAGTGCGCGCTCAGTAAAGCTTCTGGATCGAATCCACAACCCAGGTAAGACGGCTCATATTATGCAAGCACAAACATAAACAAATACACCAAATATACCATACATTAACACAATTTAAAACAATATGAAACATAACAACTTCACTGTAGTAAGAGCAGAAACTAATCAGCAGATGTATTTATGAGGTAGTTTGGCAGTGTGCATGTTGTTGGTGAGGCTTTCGTTGTATTTTCTATTTCAGTTCTTTGTACATTGTATGTTCTGCATCACATGCACCATTTCTTGGCCTTAATGTTTGTCCTCTCAAGCATATAATGCTCTATTACTCTTATTTGTTAGAAGATTTTGAGACATTCATGTCCCCTGAACATTACTTTTGCCTTTTGTATTTTTTTCACTATTAGCACATGCACAAAAAATACTTTTTATAAACCCACAAATATCCTTTCTAGTCTGTACTACTAACAGTACATTATTGGGATGTATATATTGCCATAATACCTTTAAAATATTGTATTATATTGTATAATATTTTAATATACATCTCTAATGGAAAAGTGGCAGGTTTTGGCAAGCTTCGCTGCACTCTCATGAGGATTTTAATGCTCATCTAGGAAACGCAAATGCTTTGTGAATTTACAATTGTGTTTGAATTTTTACCACTATGAGGTTCCATAGTATTCAGAAAGTATTCATGATGCACTGCATAATTTTGTAAATAAATAAATGCTTGTCAGGGCAATCTTTTACATCTCCATTGCATAAATTTGATATAATAATTTTTTCCCTTTTTTTTTTTGTCTCATAATGCTTCTAATTCTCATTCCCTGCCCATCCTAGCACTTGTCTATCCTCAGTTTGACCCATTTTGTTATGCTGCCCATTGCAGTGATCTCTGATTGTATTTCTTTAAAATTTGCATGGATTCAAGCTTTAAGCTAACCAAGCTGTGCTATTACCAACTAATTTACATTTTGCATGCTGACCAAATTAGCTATCACATGGAGAGGTTGTTATTTTGTATAGTGAAGTGTAATTAAAGGGAGAAAAACTTTAATTAAGCTCCGAACTAGAGCTCAGAAGGTGTCTGTTGTTTTATTTTCTTAATTGTAACTTATAGATGACTACAAACACACCCACAGTTGTTATTCCACAACATACAAATGAAACACATCTATTACTACATCTGCGTATGAATGTTTTAATAGTGTGTGTGTGCATTAATTAAAGCATGGTTTGGTTGAAGGAGCCGCTCGTGTAGTTTTATTGTAGATGTGCTGGCTTAGAGCCTCTGACAGTGCTGCTGCATGCTTTCTTCTCTATCTCTTTATCTCTCTTCTTCTTTTACCTCTTTCCCCCTCTTGCTCTCTCCCAGACCTCTATATTCTACCTCTCTGTCCATCTCTGCTCTCGCTCTCGTTCTCGTGGCCACCCTCTCAGATAACTCTTGTCTGACTTTGCAGTTCCTGTGGAGTGGTGTTGTCCAGTGTTGTGTTCTTGTTTGTAGTTGGTGTTTAGTTTTCTTTTTCTTTTCTACTCTTTCTCTCTTTCTCTTTCTCTCCGCTCCTTTAACCGATCTACTAATGTGGCGATTTGGCTCAGCCTTGGGTAACAACACCAGATCATACAAACTGCTAGACTGGAATAGTTTCACTGCAGGTACTTCCCTACCCTCAGTCCTGCTTTTCACACACACACAAACACACACACACACACACACACATGCAGCCCCTGGCAGCTCAGCTGTTACAAACGTACCTAATGATTAATACATATTATCAGTTTTGAGAAAGTATTGAATTTTGAATATTCTCTTTTAGCAATTAATCAACATTGTAATCATTCTTAAAGGGATAGTTCACCCAATAATGAAATGCTGTCACCATTTACTCACCGCAGTGTTTTTCTAAACTCGTATGGTTTTCTTACTTGTGAGGAGCACAAAAGTTTAGCTGCTGTTTTCCTTAAAATGAAAAGCACAGCATGTAAAGACCTTCCACAACAGGTTTCATGTAGAAGTTTGTTCTTGCATATCTCATAACTCAATCTGCAGTAGATGGGACGGTTATCAATGAATAACATCTTCAGTTTCTGTCTGTGCATCACAAGTAGTTCAGTATGACTTCACAAGACTTGGAATATAGCGCTTATGAGATGTTTGTTCTACTGATGTTTGTAGATGTACTTATAACTTATTGTTCTTGTTTTGTCCCTTATGCCTAATTTTTATGGAGAAGAGCAACGGGAACATTTTTCCATGTACCACAAAACGAGATTTTTTTTAAGTATCAAAGTCATGCAGGTTTTGAATAACAGGAGGGTCAGTAAATGACTTATTTTCATTTTACAGTGAACTTTTCCCTTAATATATATAGAAATTTGTTATTCAATGCATATTCACAATTAAGAAGATGAGTTGATTTTTGTCAAGAGTGATTACAAATACATTTAAAGATTAATAAAATGTGTAGAAGGAGTCATTCATGCTGAGGCAATCTCAGATACACAGACTCGCACATAAACTCAAGCCTTTTGTCAGTAGTGTGTGTTGCATGAGCTGCCATGCGCTGTGCTTCTGTATGAACGTGTGTGTCTGGCACCTGTTGCATGTTTTAGCTGGATGCGTGGCTGTTCTCTGCTCTGGCTGATCATTCCTTGATCTGCTCTGACTTTGCTTCACCTGACCCCTTACCCAGCGTTCCCTGCTCCCTGATCACTTGACCACTTGATCTATCAATCCAGTGAAGTGGACTTAGGCAATGTTCTTCGTTTAGTCATGAAAAGTATCATGACATGTGCCCTTGTCAGTGCTGCTGCCTCTGTGGTCATTGTTGCTTCCCTCTACTAAAGTAATAAGGATTCATACTTTATAGATTATGTTTGTGTAAGCTGATATCACGTGTCTGATATTGATTTGTAGTCATTGTCTGGGGTTGTTCATGTCGGTAGGGGATTTTTAAAAAGACATTTGCTTTCTTGACTGAATATTTTTTCCTCCTATTTTTCATTAATGCGTCTTTTACTGTTTTTTGAATTTGGAATTTGCAAAAAGTTTAACACTGCTCAGAATCTGTAGTAAACGGCTGGCACCTGTCCAGAATTAATCGTCCATATATAAAAATATGAGAAATATGATTCAGCTAATTGAGAATGATTGAGCAATTGAATGTTTGGTTTAGTTTATAAGAAAATTCACTGTGGACTTTTGTATTTTTAATTCTGAGTTATTAGTCAGGCTATGAGTGATTTGAATCATATTATAGCAGTGGTAAGTTGATCATCAGGCCATCATTTATTTATTTATTTGCACTTTCTCCTGCTTCTGGTCTCTTTTCCGCTGTGCACTTCTCTCTTTAACGTCACCTTTATTAATCAAACTCCCTTCTGCTGTTGGCTGTTTATCCAGGATAGGTTGGAGTTTGTCCTCTATTGGGAAGCATGACGGCACTAGCAGGGGAATGCTCTGCCTACTGTTGTAGATTAGATCATGAAAGCTGTCAGTCAGGAGAATGGCAAATCACACCACTGTCCTTTTTGTCCTCACCATCATCATCGTTTTCCTCATTCCCCTCGGCCCTCTCCTAGTATGTAGTAAACAGGCAGGGCAGTTTGCTCTCATTAAAAAAACCTTGCTCTAAGAGAGTGTGAGCAACTGTGCGTGCATGTGTGCGAGTGTGTGTATGTGTGTGAGAAAGAGAGAGAAAAGCTCAGGTACTAGCCTTGTTTACATTAGTGCATGGTTTTCTCCCTCTCTGAAGACAATTTCCTAGGGTTTTTCAAGGTTGGAACTAAAATCTGCAGGAGAGTGGCCCTCCAGGATCAACGTTCCCCACCCCTGGCATAGATCATTGAATCTGATTAGACCGTTAGCATCTCGCTCAAAAATGACCAAAGAGTTTCTATGTTTCTACGATCTCCGCCAGACCCGGAGATCGGCTGAATGGATTGGAAAACGGTAAAACTCAACTGTTTAACTCTAGGGGAGTTGGAAAATTAGCCTATTTTCAAAAGTAGTGGAGTGTTCCTTTTAAGGCCTGTTTGACGCTACATGCTCAAGCAACTTCACACCAAGAACAATAACTATAAATATAATGATAACTATATTAGTGTCCACATTGACGCATTATAACATTCTGATTATTCTAAGTACATACACCAGTTTTGCCATCTGCTGCTTTAAATGCTCAAGCTCTTTAAAGTTGGGTGGATTCTAACTGACTGTCAATGTTTTTATCATTCATCATGTGGAAAAAAATTATCTGAGGAACAATATCATTGCAATCATTTTCAGTGTCGTTATCATTAAAGCTGTGGTGTGGACTTCACTATTCTCATACAATTAGAACAAATATTAAAAATTTATATTAATTGTTATAGTTATAGTCCTTGGTGTAAACAAGCCATAATGCTTTGGACAATCCAGGGATAAACACCATTCTACTATGGGACTCAAATATCAAATCTGGCATTTTATTGATATAGAGCAGGGTTTTTTTTACCTGGATTCATGAGAAAACTTGCAGGGGGTTTGTGAGTTGATGAAAGGCTAATAATGAAATCATAAAAATGAAAAATTATGATAAATAAATTATATTAAAATAATAAAAACCTCACTAAAAGTATTAACTATTTTGTTTACCCACATGTCATGTGAGATCATTTACCAATATCAGAGAACCGTGAATTTGCATGTGTTGTTCAGTTATTGAAATATTAATTACAATTTTTTAGTCAAAGAGGTTCAGCCGACAAAAAACGCTTTGGGAATCCCTGATATAGACAGTAATAATAAACAAATAAATAAACACGATTGTGAGTTGTGGCAGATTTGGGAGCGTCAAGAAACCAGCTAACAGGGCTAGTATGCTGCTAAAGCGAGTGGGTGTGTTTATGTGCCAATGGTGTGTGTGATGATTTAAATATGTTTGTTTCAGACGAGCCGGAGACACGGGATGCGTGGTGGGAGGAGATCCGTCAGGAAATAAAGTCTCATGCCAAAGCTCTTGGCTGCCACGCTGTGGTGGGCTACAGCGAGTCCACCAGCATCTGGTACTTAAACACACACACAATTCTCAACTCTGAGGATATTTTCACACACTGGTTCTCAACTGTTTTTAGGCTTCCTCATATATACAGGTTTTCAAGACAGTTGAGGGAGTGAACTAAAATCTTGATTTTCTGTCATTCAACCATGATGAAAGTCTCTGATTATGTACTTTTTGTGTTTGCAGTGAGGAGGTGTGTATTCTATCAGCGTCAGGCACTGCGGCAATCCTCAGCTCCCGATTCATGCAGGACGGCCCGCTGGACGTCGAACACAGGTTGTCACGGCAACCGCTTTGTGTCTTTTCTACAGGGTCAGAGAGGGTCGAGGGGGATATGGGTAGTTCAGCCTCGCTAGGGTAGGTTAATGACACACACATGCACATACACACACACCTTTGGACCCCTGCTAAGGGACTTTTATAAGAATAGTTCACCCAAAAATAAAAAATTTGATTACTAACTCTCCCCTCATGTCATATCAAACTTTTAAAAGGGTGAACCAAGAAAATAATCCATAATTAGTAATTCAACTTAGTTGTCTTCTAAAATCATACAATAACTTTAAAGACAGCATAAAATGACAACTCACCCTGTCTGTTTTCTAAATGAATGTTATAAATCTTATTGTGAACATAAAATATTTTTTTGATACTACGTTACACATGGATGTGTCACAATATAGAAAAGTTCTGTCACTACTTCCGATTCATTGCGGCAATAAATTCAAATCATTATTCACTGAATTTTTTCCTTAATGCAGTACAGTAGCTCTTAACGTCGGAATAAAACTGAAATTGTGACATATATCTGAGTGAAATGGCTTCTTAAACAAGGAGAAAAATACAGAAAAAATATCAAAAATATAGGACAGGACTTGATTTTGAATTGCTTAGATTGTTGTCGTTTCCTGTGATCTTATGTGAAGAAATGTTGTTTTGCGTGGAGGAGGGGAAGTTAATATTTTTTATTAAAAATGACTTAATTAAAAAATTATGAATTAAAAAAATTATATGGATGGATAAATCATTTTTAATAAACGCTGCAGTATTGTGAATTTGGATTTCATGGTGACATTAAAACCAAAAGGTTTGGAATGACACAAGTGTAAGTAAATCATAACTTAAAATTTAATTTTGGGTGAACTTTTCCTTTAATCTCAATACTAAACAATACTAATAAAATTTGTGTGTGTGTGTGTCTGTGTATGTTTGCTGAGGATGTTTTTTTGTACAGCTACTAACCAAATTAAGTCCTGAGACCTAAACATTTGCCTATCTCTGCATTTGTATATTTTATGTAAAAAAATAATACCATCTTTACAAATTTGTATGCTTATGTAATGATTTTATTCACTTTTAGCTCATGTGGGTGCTTGGGTCTCTGTGTGTTCCCTTGTGTTATTGTTTATGTACTAATTACAGTGTTTATTTCTGTAAGATTTGAGGAGGTGGTGTCCCCTGGCTGTGGGTTTTGCCACATACCGTACGATGAGTTGAATATACCATTTCCTGCTCAGCTCACCTATTGCTACTGCTGTCGCCGCTACAAAGTGCCCGATGTTCTCTTCACCACAATCGACCTGCCTACTGAAGCCAACGTCACCGGGAAGGGCTGCCTGATTCAGGCCAGGTAGAATATGCACAGAACATCCTTTCTGAATGCTATATTATTGTGCTGCATACTGCAGTATAGCGCAAATAGTATATGTGCTATTTAGTGATACATGCTTTAAATTGCAGTGTGTAGGGCAGCATGTGTAAATTAAAGAAAAACGAAATCACAATTAAATTTTTTTAATCACATTTTAAATAGAAAAAATTATATCACAACGTTACATTTCAGTGAATTAATAAAAACAGACATTTTGCTTTTTTAAAGTGTCCCACGTGAATAATTAGTTTGGATGAAGGTCAAGTCAACACATTGCATTGTGGAATACAGTATTTCTCACAATGTGCTCCGATCAGAAGGTCATCCGGGTATTCTCTGCATCTCACTGTAGGCTGTGCAGGACTAAAAAGAAGGCCCAGGGAGAAGGGAACGCCACGGCCATTAGTAATCTTCTGCCATTTCTAGAGTACGAACTCCACACACAGCTGATGAACAAATTGAAGCTACGAGGCATGAATGCCTTGTTCGGGCTACGTATCCAGATCAGCGTGGGAGAGACCATGCTGCTAGGATTAGCGGTCAGTGTGCAATTACCCATAATGCTCAGTGCATTTAGTGTACTTTATTAAATATGACTGTATGTGCTGCTGTTTTCATGCTAATAGCTGTTGTTTGTTGCATCTAGTCTGCAACAGGAGTTTATCTGACAGCTTTACCCAGTCCTGGAGGAATCCAGATTACGGGAAAAACTCCCAGTGACATAACATATGAACAGCACATCTCCAATATGCAGAAGAAAATCAATGACACCATTACTAAAAACAAAGAACTGTATGAAATCAACCCTCCTGTAAGTATATATACACATCAAGTGTATTTCAAGCCTTTTATTTTATCCACTTGTTCCTCTTTTAAAAACACAGCTAAAACATTTTAAAAAAAATTCCTTCATAGGAGGTTGTCGAAGAGATCATTGGTTCGCCGATCCCTGAGCCCCGTCAGAGGTCTCGTCTCTTTCGTTCTCACTCAGAGAGTTCAGATGAGGTGTCAGAACTAGACTTATCCCATGGGAAAAAGGATGCCTTTGTGTTGGAGGCAAGTTGGCTTGTACTGGAGGTTTATGGATTCTAGAGATGAACATGGAGATGCTGGAAATGCATTTTGCAGAGTGAAGGATCTTTTTAATGTTTTAATACTCTTCTAGATTGATGACACGGATGCTGTGGAAGATATACATGCACTTCTGACTGATTTCTCCATCCCAGCAGGTAAACACTTCTGCTAGACCACTGTTGGACTCTATTCTGTGTTTACTGGGCTATATATTCACCTGTTTATATGTACATTCTCTTGTCTTCCCTTCAGGATTCTACAGCTGCAACACTGAAATCATGCCTGGGATTCAGAACTGGACTTCAGCTATACAGGTACCGTTCATCCCAGCGAACCTGTCCATCTCCTGAAAATTGCAGATAGTGTGTTGATGTGTTTACATCTTCAAGAACTCAAGACTCAACAGAAACCAATAGTATTTTAATAAAGCCAGAATGGGAGCAAGAGCCAATTCAAACCACACGAGATGGTATCAATTTCATGAGCAGTATTTTTATATATATCAACAATGAAGACAGTTACTGTTGCCCTAATATTTGCAGACAGATGAAGCTATTTTGAGAGATGTTTGCTCTGGAAAGACAGATTTATTGTCTCTATATAATGTTAATATGTTGTTAATATTTTTGGTGTTGAATCAAACATTTTTCTTAAGATGTTTACCTCCGTGAGGGTCTTTCGCCTTAACACCAACTTGACCAATCAGGGACTGAATAAGATTTTCAGTGACCTCTGTGAGAACCTGCTTAAGGTGAATACATTTTCCTGAATACATATTTTCTGAATACGTTTATCTATTTTTTTCTGACGAGATCAGTACAATAATAGTTGATATGGACCAGCTAAACCAAATTATTAAAGTATGTTTGGATATCACTACTCTAACTGAAATATATGTGTGCTCTGTAGAGTTTGTACTTCAAACTGCGGTCGATGGTCCCATGCTGTCTTTGTCACCTGAACTTCACAGTGGCCATACCTGAAGATGAGCTTATTCAGGTGAGAACACACCTGACCTTATGTTTTTGTTAAATATTTTATTAAACTTTCAGTTTGTGATCTTATTACTGTTAAACAGCAAAAAAGAAAGAAAGAATGGAACCCTTAAGGTCTGTTTGTCCTGTTTAGATTTTTTTTTTTTTTTTTACCTCTGTCCCACGTGATTGGTCTGATATTTGATATTTATTGTTTATTTACATATTTCCCTCTGTATCCTAACTCAAGCTACTGCTACTGTCAACTTGAACTACTGTCAAATGTGCATTTATAAGAGACAAAAAAAAGTAATATTATAATTTTGTAAAATGTTAATTAATATTGCAGCCTGCACTGCAAACTGTGCTGAAGATATGCATCATCAAAGTCAGGCAACACAAACCTGTTTTATGATTTGAAGCAATATCACTCATTAGAACAGGCAGAAACTTAAGAAATTAGTAGTTTAAAACCACAATTAATGCTCTGGTTTCTACAACTTTCACTTAGGAGCAAAACTCTGCCTTTAATTTAAAAGAAATAAAGATTTTAAATTTATCGTGATAATTATTGATATCGATTGATATAAAAAAAAATGTATTGTGATAATTTTTTTGGCCATATCGCCCAGCCCTATTGCTCAGTGTTGTTTAATTGGCAGGTGGCGGTAACAGCTGTGGCAATGAGCTTTGACAAAGAGCAGACTTTGGAAAATGGCAAACAAAGTGGGGAAAAGACACTGATAAAGGGTAAGCATGTGCTGTATGTACAGTATGTTCATGTAAGACACACCTTTTTGAAAAGCAGATCCTCAGTGTTGATTGTCCTTTGCAGCCATAACAGATGAGCAGCTTCAGTTCAGTCTGGAACTCAATGCTGAAACATCTTCTCCCAATCCTCTCAGCTCCCCCAAAGGTAAACCCTGGTGAATCCTGATTTAAACTTCACCCGTTGTTCCATACAGTCCTTTATAGCTCTTTAGAAGTTAGCCGTAATCCTTTTATGTTAGTACTAGGTGCATTATTAGTTCATTAAAACTAACGTCGTAAAATACATTTTCGTTACTTGAAATAAAATAAACGTCAACTGAAATATATATTTTTTCATTTTCATTATTTAATTTGATGTACTATAATAACTAAAGCTGAAATAAATAACAAAAACTATATAAATAGTTAAAAAAAAATATATATATAAAAAAGGCAAAAACACAACTAAATTATTAAACTTTAAAATAAAATGAAAACAGAAAATATAAAAAATAAATAAACATTCAAAATATTAATAAAAAATATAATTGTGTAAATTATACTAAAACAACACTGGCTAGATAATGTTCTCTTAATAATTATATCTTAAAATTGGTGCAAACAGTTAAATATCCAATATTGGTTAATACCTATAAATTAAAAAATAATAATAATTAAAATAAATTAAAAATCAGATATTGGTGACATAACTATTACAGTGCCGATTTATAGTGCATAAGTTTCTTGTACCAAAATAAAATGCATTTATTTATTTATTTATTTTTATAAAAAATATATAAATTTCTGACATTAAAAAAAGAATATATATTTTTTGTCACATAAAAACTAATAATAATGATAATAATGAACAATAAAATATGTGTGTGTTTGTGTGTTTTTTTTGTTTTAGTTTTTTGCTGGGACCACTGAAAATCTTAGGAAAAATTATTGAGATCTGATATCTACATTGCACATTGGCTCTTCACAATATTAAGGAAAATCCTGTTCTCTTTAGTGTCATCCCTTTAACACTGCATTGGTTTCCTTTGTGTGTCTCAGGTCTATCAGATGTTGGCAGCCATCCATCAGCCAGAGGTCAGTACCTGATCTGTTGCTAAGAGTTCTGGAGGCAGTAGGGTGTTTTTTTTTTCACTTTTGATTTCTGCTCCTTTTGTGTGTGACAGTTTGAAGTGCTGCAGCACACACCCCAGCATCATCCATTTTACCCCTTTTTTTCTTTCTTTCTGTGTCTTGTTTCCTCTTCTCTTTGTCCCTCTGTCGTTGTGTGTATGTACTTGTCTGCGGGATTTGTGACCACGTGTGCACATATTTCTATGTGCGTGTTTGTCTATCTGTGTTTGTTTCTGAATGTCGGTCTATATATATATATGTGTATATATGTATATGTATGTATGTATATATATATATATGTGTATATATATGTATATATGTGTATGTATGTATGTATGTATGTATGTATATATATATATATGTGTATATATATGTATATATGTGTATGTATGTATGTATGTATGTATGTATATATATATATATGTGTATATATATGTATATATGTGTATGTATGTATGTATGTATGTATGTATATATATATATATGTGTATATATATATAT